GTTGAAGATGGCCTATTTATCATTTAAACTCTACTGTGCCTTTACAAGACAGAAAGGAGGAGGACAATACATTAGTCACCCAATTAATGTTTTTTTTATGATGGAATGGCATTAGAAGAAATGTGGTGAAACAGAATAGTAATGTCACTGGTTTGGTTTTTCCTCATCTGTGTTGCCTAGTAAAAAGAAAATGATTTAGAATCATAGAACCGTTTAGGTTGGAAAAGACCTTTAAGATCATCAAGTCCAACCGTTAACCTAACCCTGCCATCCCACCACTAAACCATGTCCCTAAGCACCTCATCTGCCCGGCTTTTAAATCCCTCCAGGGATGGGAACTCAACCACTGCCCTGGGCAGCCTGTTCCAGCCTGACAACTCTTTCTGTGAAGCAATTTTTCCTGATGTGCAATCTACACCTGCCCTGGTGCAGCTTCAGACCATTTCCCCCCATCCTATCACCCGTTACCAGGGAGAAGAGGCTGACCCCCACCTCGCTACAGCCTCCTCTCAAGTGGTTCAAAGTCTGCAGAAATAGTATTTAAACATAAATCAGATTGGAAATATGTATAAGTATACAAATCTATTTAGAGGAATTTAGTAGGATTTACAGAACATCTTTCTAAATGATGTGACTGATTGCTCTGAGTTTAAATCAACAGTAAATCTACTATACCATTTGGGTGCTCTTACCCCTAGCCACCTGCACAGCTGATAATTTCAAGTGCCTCCTATAAATCTGGCCCCCAATTTCAGTTTCCTAAAGTCAAGCAGGAGCCTGCAAAAGGAAATCTACATATGAAACAGTGGGTAAATGCAGTATTTTCTCCGTGGCCTACTAAGGGCAGCACCAAATCCAGGCCCCCTTTAAGTGAATGTCACTTTATTGACTTCCCAGTGCCAATGGTGCTGTGCAGCTTGGCACTGACACCCAGCTCCTACTCTGCCGTGTCCTGGCAGGCAGCTGCTCGCCCACCGCCACTGAGGGGACGAGCGGCGAAAGGCACCAACGTTGGTATTCTTCGGCTAAATTTGCACTTCTGATGTGAGCAGGGGTTTTTGTACGGATGGCCTGCATGTGAGTTGGTGTCAGGGTTTTCCACAGTTTTGCTTCACGGGGAGGTTGTGTCCGATGCAGTGGCTGAGAGATAAGGAGATCGATGGACGTGTTTGCATTGTTTGGCTGACTTGCAGGTTTTCAAAGGTGGTGCATCATTCAAAGTCAAACCGTGGGTACCAGATTTACAATTAGTGAAAACGAACGAAATTTTTTAACTGTTATTTTTGGTTGATACTTAAACACGGTTACATTTCCTGGCACCTTAGCAGCCCAAGGCATAGCAACAGCACTAACGCTGGCTAAACTGACACCTCCATTATCTTGCCTTATCTTTGCTTAAGGGACGAAATTTTTAAGGCTGCTAATTATGAGAGCAGATCACTGTAACATTTGGGCCATTTCTTGTTCTTACTTCCTTTTCTTCCCCCGTTCCCCCCTTTTGTGAGAAGCCCATGTTGCTTGTGTGCCCGGAATAAGGCTGCCGTTGTAGGGAGAAAGCCTGGAAGCGTGGTGCTGCGGCATCGCGGCAGCACCTGGATTTTAGCTGAGGTGGGGAGCTGCTTGTCTGACCCACTGAAATACCCCAGTGGGAAGCTTTTTCTGCCCAGAAAGCTTACTGCCTGCAGGGGTGGGACTGGCAAGTAGTTAATAACACAAATTGTTGTTCATGTTATTCATTGCTGTTATTCCTTGCTCCATGCCTGTGGAGCGGAGGCGCAGATTTAGAGAGCAGCGTTTGTATTGCCTGCCCTCGGTCATCTCACTGGTGCCCCGAACGACCCCGGTGAAGAGAGCTCCCACGACCGCTTTCCTGTGACCGAGTCCTTTCAGCTCATGGAGGAACGAACTGGCTTCCTAAATTATGAGTCAGAATATTATTTGCCGCAGAATTTAGTCCACCTGTCTCTGGAAGGATGGTTGTAATTCTATGACTCCACATATGGCCTGAACACAACACCTACTCTCCCACTGTATGTGTGTGTATATGTACATATGTGTCACCAAGTATGAGCTGGCACCAGCAGCTTAGCGTGCACAGTGCTCATCGCCATCCAGTGCTTCCGTGACAAAGCTAGGCAATCGTTTCGGATCATAATACACTTTATTTATGACCAGGAGGGGATGACTACATCACCCGATCTCCCCTTCTCCGTATTGCAAACTTTGGGTATCTGTGTGAAACCCAGTAACTTGTGTATGACTGCAGGATAACTTGCATTTTCACAAAAATCCATCTAGAAAAGTCCCATTAAACCTTGATATCAACAAATGGAGAATCTCTGCATTGTCCTTTTGATAGCTGCGCTAATGGTTACTCACAGGTGATGAAAGGCATGTGCTTTATTTCTCGTTTGAATTTGGCGTCAGCTTCCAGATGCTGAGTTGTTTTATGTATGCCCTTCTTTGCTAGATAAACAAGCCAGTTGGTACTTAGTATTTGCTGCCCATGAAAATCCTTTGGCGCTGTAATCCTGTCACCTGTCTTTTTTTTTAAATAAATTATACAAGTTCAACTCTCCAAATATTTCATATTAACATATTTTCTACCAGCATTCTAATCACTTTTGCAGCTGTATTCTGTGAGCTGTAGTGTTTTGTTTTTTTTTTTTTTTTTTTTTTTCTTTTTAAATCATGGAGACCTGCATCCTATTGTAGGTAATGAAAGGTTATAATGTTAACATTACCATGGAAGTTTAAAAATGAAAGTTTAAAAAACATTTTCTGTCTTTGCATACTGTTTATTTCAAAGCTTATATTAGCACTTATTTCTATATGAAGTTAGAGTTTAAGAAACACTTTTATTGTTAACGCCTTACGGGTAGGGGCATCTGCTAGCATGACAAATTATTACAAGCATCCACATGTATGCTCTCACCCAATCATAAGGGAAATCTACGTAACTTTTAAGTGTCAGTGACACTTATGGGTAATAAAATAATAATAAATCTATCTTTTAATCTCTAATTTGCCTTTTCTCCTTGCTTCATTCTTGAAAATAATTTATTTACTTGTCTCTAGTCTTCACACACAAAAAACTTCTTCAGTAGAAAGCCAGTATGAATGTTTTTACTGAGAAGTTGTCTGGCAAGGTAACCAAAACCAGTTATAGGATTCGATTAGCTCTTCCAGCCTGTGTGACCAGTGCTACCTGTACTGATACCTTCTGCCTGCTCTGTAGCAAGATGGGAAGATGAACGGCCTTTAAGTGATCCCGTCACTGATACAAGCTACCAGTGATCCAGTATATAAGATTAGTAAACAGAAAAAATGAAAATATGGCCCAACCAATTTATGAGTATAACTATGACAGAAAGAGTTAGTACAATTTCTTCAATAACAATACTTCCATCTATACAACATGAGTGTCTGGTAGTTTACAGTGTCCTTTAAACTCTGTGAATCTTGCAGAAGCCTTCATTCAGCACAGATGAGCCAGTTATTTTCCTGGTATTTGTCATCAGAGCAGCCTCAATATGTGTTAGTTACTGTTGCATAGCATAATGTCAGAGTATTGAATAGAGATAATTTTAATATAATAACACGCTTAACAATTTTCCCACAAGACGTGGAGAAATTTCGTAACAGCAGCATCCTCTAATTGTTGCTTGGATTTTCAGATTTTATATTTACACAGAGTTACGCTTCTTGAGTATATTGTATTTTGTATAAACAGACCATCCTCCACAGAAAAATGAGATGGGAGACAATTTGAAAATAAGACAAAGAGATTGCAACAACCATCTCAGAATGCCACCTGAGAATTAGATAGGTAATTATAGAGGTAGCCAGGTAGATGGAGGCTCATACACATTCAGCAGACAAACTCAGAAAAACTCTGGACTTCTAGCTGATGTATTGTTAGTACTTTGTGATGCTTAAATAGTCATTTCTTGTCCCTTGTATAGTCATTCACCTCTGATTAGAATGGGTACAACTCTTTCTCAGGTGAGTAGTTGTGTTTGGTTAGACGGTGTACTTGTCTCACAGGGATGTAAATGAGAACATGTTGTAGTACTGCAGACTGAGAATTAGAACTGGATTTATGAAAGCTTCTCCTGATGATGTGTTTAAATATGTTATTTATTAAATTGATTATATCATAAAATGATCCTTAATGTATAGTTTTAAAAGCTGTTAGACATTTGTGTGGAAGAGTATAATTAATTTTAAAAGTCTCCAATGAATATCTCATTTCACTTTACAGCATTTAATTATTAGATTACATAGACAAAAACTGAGCATAAGACTTAAGGCTTGGAATGCAGGCGTAGGAAACTAGTCAAGATACATGGCGGTCGAACGGCAGAGGGAATACGAAATAAAGCTTTACTCATCATAGTCAAAGGCAGGCATGGAGAAGTCTGCAAATAGGTTTATTATTGCAGAAAAATGCCAGGCTATCGTTCGTGTTTGATTTTCATAAATGCTTTCCTTTAGACTTTCCCCAAAAAACATACAGAAGGTAATTTCTTTGGCCTACTTACTTCTTTTTACACAGAAGTGATGCTCAATCAATTCCCACTGGCAGCTTTCTCAGGGAGCACTTTTGTGTCCTCCCCGCTGTTCTGAGGCAGTGCGCTGGCGTTTCAGTCCTGTGCTCAGCAGCAGTTCTGGACGAATTGCTTGCTGATGTTATACTTGACCAAAGAGGCTGAAAATTGTTGAGGCAAGCTCAGGGGGTATTAGGGTTCTTCCAGGTTCCTGGAAAAAAGTGCACAGCTTTGCAAAGCGCTCAAATGCTGCGAGCCGCTGGGGCTTGCCCTTGCCTGTCTCATTCTTTCTGTGATGGGTGTTGGGTTTTTTCCCCTTACAGTTCTGCCAAAGCTCCTAACTTGGGAGCTAGTACCTTGGCGAACGCCAAAAGCAAGAGGAGTCAAATGCTCGTGTTTGGGTGGGGTGATGGACACTGGTGTGACGGGTGCCTCTGCCTCTCGTTGCAGCCCTCTCAGCTGTCAGATGCGGTGATCTCCATGGTAACTCAAACCCCCAGACTCTTGACAGCAGCCTGCGAGGAGCAGCATTCAGCAGCTCAAGGGTCTCACGACCAGGTAAGCCAAAAGTAATCACCAAACAAGAGATTTCTCTGCGTCCACTGTTTCCTATCCAACTGCCTTTCAGGTTTTTCCTTGGTGAAGCCACGCATGCTGTTAGTCCCTGCGCATATATGTGACGATGTACTCCTACCAGTGCTGTCATTTAAGGCTACGGCAGTCCAGCTCTTTCAAACAGAGGCGTTTGACAAAAAGTCTACATTTATTCAGGGTCGCTTTTTAAGCTACAGATTGAAGAGCCACAATGCAGCGAAGCAAAGAAGTACTGTACAATTCTTTAAGTGGTTTTGGTGTTAAGTAATTGCTATGGTAGGAAATAACCCCCAAACACACCTGTCTTACCACTGTACCTACACCACTGTCAGTACTGCCCGGGTGCTAACATTAGGCTTGGGCTCTCTCACCCTCCTGGAATGGACCAGAGACAGTTTCTGTGTTCACGTAACATTCATTGGTACCCTGCAGCCTTTTCAAATTGCTGCTGTGCTCTTCTCACATGACTTTCTAAATCCCTCATTGTGCTAATAACAGCACGTGGAGCATTCTGGTTAACATCATAAGGAGGTACAGAATTCTTCCCCTTTTTGGTGAGTTATGGAGAAAACATGAAGAAAAACCAAGTCTTTGAGGGCTATACAACTGTGTTCACTATTCCAGTATCACTAAAGCTGTGAACAAAAGTAGTATCTCTGGTCTTACACACTTACATGTGTGGGCGTTTTATTACCCCTTTTGTCATAAGGTTTCACTGGCATTTGTATGGAATTGTTTCTTTACCATGAAGATTGTATTTATTTTGTAAGTCCTTGGTTTCTGTGCACTGATTTCTGGATATTACCCTCATTCTTTCCGTCTGGCTACATAAGTCCATTTGGCTGTAATACACCGTCCCCATCATACAAACCAATCCATATTACTCTGAATAACCGCTCTGCTAACTTTATTAACCATTCTGACATTTTTTGTGCCATAACTGCTGCTGTCAACGGTATTTACTTTTGTATCATTGATTATACTCTTAGATAATGTTGAGCTAGTACCGGATGATTTTATTGGAGTAATGTAGAGCGCTCTTCTTCAATTATTATTTCCTGTTAACAGCTACTATTTTATACCTATATCTTAATTTGGTGATATTGATAATAATTTCTTACTCTGAATGTTGTGTGGCTGTAAGCTAAATGCTCTTCAAAAGTCTTCATGTTTAATTTGTGGAGTAACTTCTATTGACCACTGTTCATAACTTTATCAGATGATTAAATCAAACTTTCTGTTTTACTGACCAAGTTTATATGAAATGGTGTTGACTGGCATCAGTTTTATTCATGTCATTTTACCAGTGAATTTATCCTTTATCAGTTTGCTGGTTATTTTGCCTGAGATTAATAGTGGCTTAGAGCTCTATAATTACTGAGATCATACCGCTTACCATCTTCAAATATTGGCAGAAAATGCTAGCAGTCTTACTGAATTTCTCTGGTGTTCCAAAATGTATTGAAAATTAGCATCATTGAAATGATACTCTTGCAAACACTTTCAGGACTCTAAGGCACAAATTATCTGGGTGTGCTAATTTAAAGTTGTCTTTTAAAATTCATTTTGGTTACTAATGGCCTCCTTATCTGTAAAAATGCTTTTTTTCTACTTACAGAGAAGAAAATATATGTTGGTTGTTTGGGGTTTTTTGCATAGCTGTTTCTATCCTTTTAAAACATGAATCAGAAGTTGGAGGCTCTCTGGTTTCTTGTTTGTTTTCTTTAGCCCAAAATTTTTATTTGAATTAATTTGTTGCTGATTTTTTTTTTTTTAATGTGTAATGTATGTTTCAATTCAATTACACCCTTAACCCAGAATTAGAATGTGATTTTTTTGCCACAGGTTGCCTTTTTTGGACTGTTTAATAGTGGCCTTTGGTCCCTGGCGTCAGTAGGGTAGGGAGAGTCCCTCCACATTTTCATCTCTCTACTTTCTCCCAAATGCAGAATTTTCCTCTACTTTACTGGGCCAATGAACTTCCATGCTTGTGATTAACTAAGCTTCACATAGTGAATGCGCAGGCCCAGAGTGTAATTATCCTTTTGGTATGTGAAAAAGCATTCTAGGAGTCAAATTTGGGAGCACCTGATGTGTTACTGCTGACTGCATGGCATTTCTAGCTTATGTCTCTCAAATAGGCATCCTTCATAGTTCTTTTCATGTTTTACAAGTACATATTTAAGGAGCAGATCACCCAGTTCTCTGATATGGTTTGCTGGCTTGCTTTATCTCATATTACCAACAGTATATCCTCCTGGGATCTGTTAGCAGATTATCTATATGAATTCAAGATCTTGTCCCCCGGTTCGTCAGTAATTCTGAGAACTAATGGTGCCAATAATGTTGAGTCCCATTTTCTATTTCTTTTTCTCTGGCTCTCTTTTCCTGAGAAGTTAGAAGTACTCATTTTAACGTTTTAATAGTGGAGATCTCTCCAACAGTTTAAAGTGACAACAACTACACAAACCATCTCTTCCTAAACAAGATCTTACGGCCTTTCTTGCCTGTTTTCTTGGCCTCTGATTCTTCCCTCCACTCAGGTGTCCATATGTAGGGTTGCGTTTGTATTGCGTCTGTTTCTGTAACACCTCCCAGTTTACTTGAGAAGCTTTTTGTCTGCCCTAGGTTGTCCTTATCCAAAGAGAGTAACCACATGAAGCTTACTCCCTAAATAGGGCTCCTTCTTCCATGGATGTGAGTTGCTGTTCCGAAAGCCAGAACCTCTCAACTTTTCACCAGATACATAGCCAATAATTGATCATCAATCTTTTTACTTTCTGTTGCTCTGAAGATCGGGCAGATCTCCAGGATCTCTTTCACATTTTCCTTATGAAACATGCAGCTGGTCTTACGCTAGCCAGAGATTTTGTAACGGGGAGTGACAGTACATGCTTTAGCACTTTTCCATCTGATGGAAAAGCTGGGACTTTTCTCTCCATGAGAGAATGTCTCTGACCCGTCTAGGAGGAAGGCAGAGCCAATACAGGTAGAAAATGTCAGGTTTCAAAGCAAGAAGCTTTAGGAAAATTTCATGTAACTTCCTGGCATTAAATGTAGCAGAAACTCCTTGTTGGATTTTGGAGAGATGTTAGGAGGAGTGGTGCAAATCTGCTTGGGCGGTTCTGTAATGATCGCTTATCTGAACCAGTCAGAGGAAACCCAAAAGCAGAGAAAAACGTTAGGATTTTACAAATTTAGTAATAATTTTTAGTGGATCTTCCCTTGTGCCTGGGAATGGACCACAGAAATTTCTTCAGTCCTCTGTGTTTTAGTTGCCCAGGCTAGGGCAACAATTTTTACATGATGAGTGTCAGTACTTTCTACTAGGTAGGCACCAAAATTATTTCCTCAAGTTATTAGTGGCTTTTGAAAGTCATGGCCAAAATCACTATCAAGACTAACAAAAGTGTGTTTTAACAAAATAGGGTCATGTTAATTTTGTCCCACACATTATTACTGTTATCATTGTTTATTATTGATATGGTGGGGGTGACAATGACAAGAGGCTGACTATATGAAGATCATGTGTGCTAAGTTGTGTGAATGCATAGGGAATGATAACATCTTGACTAGAAAACCTTAGGCTGTAAAAAGCAAAATGAAAGAGAGATGAGGCAAAATTAGATGTGGAAACACGAAGAGTTGGGGGAGTTCAGTTAGAAACAGTAGGAGTATGCACATGGTACCTAGGAAGAAACGGATCACCCTTTCCTAGATTGGTGTTCATTGTACGAATTAGTTACTTTGAATTTAAGAATGAGATAGGTAGGATGTAAGTGGAAGGTATTTCAAACATATCAGCTGATACACTGAACAGGTTGCCCTTATTCAAGGAGCTTGGAATGGGTGCAGTTTGGGAATGTCACAAATGAAACGTGATAGTGCAAGTTGTGAATATTTTTGATAAAAGTGCGCGGGCACAGAGTAACATAAGAAAATGTTCAATATTCCTTTTGAAAAATATTTCCAGAACAGTATTTTTTCAGGAACATTTCAGAAGCATTCATTTGGTGTGATTGAGAAGAATGTTTCTTTGTAGATAGGTCAGCATTAAGATGTTTGATTTTGATGAAATGTATGTCTTCTTTTTTACATAGGAATAACATTGCATTTTATACAGGGAAAGTAAAATAAACAATCATCAAAGGTTGGCTTGCAAGTGCATGAGTTTGAAAAGTATTATAATACACCCGTGCATACTTGTTTCTTAACAGCTTCTATATTTTTTTACAATTAGTGGTTTTTGATGGGTTGTCTTAATTTATTTAGAACTTTATCAGTGGTGTTGCACAGGCAGAGACAGAAGCTTTCTGTATGGTAACAACAATTGCTGTTAGCACTAAATCCCACCGAATCATTTTGTTGGTCAGTTAGATTTATGAACTAGAAAAATCAGACTGGTTTTAAACTATATAATTTATAATATAATTCTTGGTTTCAGTCATACACTCTGTATTGATTTGGATTTCTAAAATTGTTTTTCAAGTATTGTCAACAAATAATATAGCACCTATGGGCCTACACATGAACTATTCCCTTTTGACTGCTCAAAATTCATTATTCAGTGTGTGGTTATTCTTAAAAGTCATGTGGCATTGTGTCTGAAAAATAGTGAACTGTTGTCATATTTTTAAAAACAGGTGTAAAAATAACATGAAAACAAACATTCTTTAAATTTGAAGCTGTTGCAAGGCAAAAGCAGAGTTTTATTCCTATATTTCCTGATACTTCTCTTGCTACTTGGTGAATCATAATTAACTGAACTCTGGTTTTATTCATAAAGGATTACTTAATCAGTATTTTTTGACCTTACAGCCAAGTCAGAAGAAATTATATCTAGCTAGAACATGAACTTGTCTGATAGGTAACGATTTTTATGCCTTTACATTATGCTGGAGAGATGAGGAAACTACTATTCCAGTCATGGCCAACTTCTGAGATACTTGCTCGAGCCTTTGTTTTATACAGCAGCGCTTTAAACTACTGCTAGTGGAATAATATTATTGCTGGTTTTTTTAAAAATCTTTTTTCTTTAGCACAGCTAAGGTTCCAAAGAAGGTTTCCGATGGTAGTGAAGAGAGGCTTGAGGATGTTAGCATTCCAAAATAAGATGGTAAAATGCATTATCCTTTGATTTTTAAACGAGGCTGGTGATTATTTAAGGCATAACTCGGACCTTTGAGGACAGAGCTGTGACAATCCTGTACTCTCTGTCCTTTGATTTGTAGAGCGCATTAGGATACCACATTCACTGTGCCAGTCACTTGAAAATGCTAGTAGTAGATATACAGAGTCGAGAAAGGCAGTTCTTGTTGTAATTGTTAGTAAGTGTGTATTTAGCTTACCTGGAGTGCCAGATTAAGAGAGAGGTGCATACCTGCGTGAGCATACCACCCTGCCCCAGGGTGGGTGAGAGTAGAGCTCTGCATTGCCCAAAACTGCTCCTGTGAGTTTGCTCAGCAGAGACTTCATGCTGGCAAGTGGTTCTTCTTCATCCGCCTGAAGTCTGCTTAACCTCTCTGGGCAGAACTGCAGAAATCTGCCCACGTCAGTGAATTCAGCTTAGGCTGCGGCAGTCTTGGAGAACTCAGGTGTGTCCTTGTACATGTACCGTGCAATCACTGTGTCTGTAGTGCATTCCAGAGACAGTGTCTTCTGCAGACTACTTGTAACAAGAGACTATGTATGTGCAGTAAATCTGCTGCTTCCCAAACAAGTTTAGGACAGTTTTCCTCTGAAGAATAGGATTTTCTGCTTTTTAAAGCTTGGTTCACTTGAAGTTTCTGTTTTAAACTGAATTCTTTTGTCACATTATGCTGTAGACATGGAATTACGACAGGCAGTGTAGTTAAACATATTCCTGAATATCTGAACATCTCATGCAGTCATCCCACACAGAAACAGAGTATGTAATATAATTATCCTTTCAATAAGTTGTTCCTCTATAAATTAGGCCTTGGAGATGTATAGGATCTGTATTGCTGTTTATGCAATTTATGTGAGACGTTCCTACCTGAACATTTATATAATTTATGGATAATCATGCTGTTAAATAGATAGTACATGCTAAAGATTTGTGCCCCATATACAGATTAACATGAGTTAATTTCAGAGGAATTTCCATCTTCTGACTGCATAATATTTTACTGTCT